TTTATATATATATAAAACTAAACTAGCTCACAAGATTCAGGTCATGTCGGATATGGCACGAGTTTGTGTTGTTAGTTTATCGAGCTCAATTCATAAATACTTATTGAGCCGAACCCAAGCTTACACACGAGTCAACTTCGCTCACTCATACCCCTAGCCATGGCAAGCTAGAAATGGTAGATTGTTGTGTTAAATTTCTAAAATAATTTTTGGTCCTTCGTAAATGTTTTATTAAGTTCATTTATTTGTATTATTTTTTACAACATTACAAAAAGAAATTTTATTTATTTTGATAGATAAGATCGGATGGGAAATGAAAATTTTGATCACTTAAATCTTTTAAAAAACTTTCATATATAATCCCTAAATACTTCTTCATTATCTTATATCTAAAAGAAAGTTTTTTTTTTTTTTTTCTTTTGTGATAAAAGATTTGGATGGTATAAATATAAAATACGAAATTTATCTGTCAAATATGTAAGCACAGAAGACGAACAGGGTGGTATTTATGCAAATGTCATTTTTATATTTGGTTTCGAAATTTTATTGGCCTGCCATTTTGAGGGCAGGACTTTCTCTAGGCAAATGAAATACTAAAAATAAGTATTTTACACAAGGTTGCCCAAATCATATAAAATAACTAAATATTATCTATATAATATAATAATCATATAATAACATAAATATAGAGAATAAATAAATAAAATGTTTTCGAATGGGCCCTATTTCCAAAAGAATTTCTGTCTAGCTCCATAAGAGCTGGCCATGTTCCCTGAACAAAAGTCAAAAAGCACGTCTTCTCCTCATCAACCTTCCTAATGTCATTATTCTTAGATATTTTGTTAATTAAAATATTCATGAAGATAAAGAAAATATTTATTATCTTAATATGGCCAATATTGCTAATAAGCATGACATGCCAATCTTTGGGCGTTAACATTGTCGTTCAGTCATTGAGGTGAATTGATTAATTCTCCTGAGTATTAATTTGTCCACTCAAATGTGTTTGGTTGCAGGACTTAATTTTCAACCGAGGAAGAAAGACACCATATAAATTTAATATCTTGAATAATTTGGATAAGGTGTGATCATTGTTTAAATGTCAATTTAGCCATCTTGTTGAGGCAGGGAGCTAAATAATCTTCTCTTGATGAATATTTGAGTGTTGTAACGATGTCAGAATTGAGCAATTTTGGGCTCATTAAAAAAACTTTCAATAGTGGTTTAATAACTTGATCTGAGCTTGATTCAACTCGAGTTGGAGTAATTTTGGTATCATTGGGTTCTTCTTGTTAAGCTGGTCACTTTGACCGTAATTTTGCTGAAATTAGAAATTTGGATAAGTTTTTATCAGTGTTTGAATATTTCTTGCTCAAAAAATTGCCTCGCAATTCATCTCATGAAAACTTCATAATAAGAAGCATATCTAATATTGAGTGCAATAAAGGATTTTTTAATCCTTGTGAGTTTGTGGGCTCCAAAAATAACCTCCCTCGAAACAGAATTAAAAAGAGAATGAGGGAGTATCATGAGGTTTTGGGTTTAATTTTCATTAGACAGATAATATAGTAGATAATACACTAACAAGAGATTTTATGTTTTTAATATTTTGAAGTCCTTTTTATTATTTTAGAATATACCTCTCTAGTTGAGATTTACATTCAACACAACCATCATTGAGTGAATGATTGAAATATTTATTTTGAAATATAATGGGGGTTAATAATTTGAGCATTTAGAAATGGTTAGTTCTATCAACTTTGGTCCCTATTAGGAAGAGGATTGGATCGAGGGCTCAGTTTTGTCAATTTTAAACTATTTAGGAGGGAGGATCAGACTGGATAGATGTGGGATTGATATATTTTTAAAAATAATTGTTTGCCATTTTCTATAATTTTCATTCTATCTCATAAGCAAGCCACCAAAATCTTCCTAAATTCAGTGAGTGTTAACATTTTTAATTCAAATCACCAATACTTGCATAATTTTTAAGTACTCAATTTTATTTCAAATTTATATTTT